CGCAAGAATACCGACAATACCCCCTCTAGCACCTCAACGAGAGGGCTGCACACATTAGAGGTGGCGTAAATCGGTTTCTCGCGACGTGTTACCCCTATATCTGATAGAAAATTGACGAGTTTTGATGAAAGATTTCTGCTTAAAAGTTGGTGTGTGTGTGCCCGCGTCTCATGTTCCCCTTACCTCGGCCCTTGTCTGCTGACCAGATGCAGTTCCAAGATAGGGGCTGGAAGCTGTAGATGTATGTACGTGGTTTGTCTTTTGAAGAGCTCGATAATGTGACTAGACGATGGCCAGGCAATGGCAAGGGTAGAGGCCGATTGTCGAGCTGGAAGACTTGAGTGGATCCGATGGGGCCGAGAGCTGCGGCTGCGGCGATGTGCTCGGGAGCTTTCCCGATTAGGAAGGGCTCCGCCTCACGCGTGGCGTATGCAGGTAGCTTGAGCTGTACTACCATAACACCTCAGCCTCCACTGCAGCCTTCCTCTTCCCCATTCCCTCTACTTTAGGTACACCGCAACTACAGCTTGAAACGACACGATACTACGAACATGACGAGAAACGCGCCCGCCCTGCGTAAGGCGGCTTCGAATGCTGACCTCTATTCGGACCCGTCACCGCCCCGCCCGCTGCGCCCTTCATCCTCTGTTGTACTAGGACGCGCACATACGACCGCGGCTCTGACACACAGGCAGCGCCTGGATAGAAATGTTTCGACGCGAGCATGGAGGGGCCGAGAGGAAGTACCAGATCTTAGCCACCGCCACAGCGTCGCAGGGGCATACCCCGACTTGATCGATGTTTACGACGACTATCCACAGCCAGCGAGGCCCCAGAACCCGCCGCCTGTACCCCCCAAGATCCCAGAGGTGCCTGCTGAGCCGGTCCAGCCGGTCCAGCAGGTCCAGCCGGAAATCCAGGCTCCTCGTCCTGTGCCGTCTCACTGTTGGATCCCAGTTCCTGCGCGTACCAAGGAGGATCCAGCGCGCTACACCAAGCCCTTTACCGACTACATTACGAACAACCCTACCATCTTCCACGCTGTCGACGCTGTTGCCCAGGACCTCGAAAAGGACGGATACAAGAAGCTGTCTGAGCGGGATGCATGGGATCTGCAGGCCGGAGGCAAATACTACGTCGAGCGCAACGGCACATCGCTCATTGCTTTTGCCATCGGAGACAAGTATGCATCCGGAAACGGAGCAGCAATCGTCGCAGGACACATTGACGCCTTGACGGCAAAGCTCAAACCCATTCCCAAGCTGCGCACCAAGGCCGGCTATGTGCAGCTCGGCGTTGCGCCGTACGCTGGCGCACTGAGCGATACCTGGTGGGATCGCGACCTTGGTATCGGCGGCAGGGTGCTCGTCAGGGAAGGCGATAAGATTGTCACCAAGCTGGTCAAGCTGGACTGGCCCATTGCCAAAATACCGACTTTGGCGCCGCACTTTGGCTCTGCTGCCAACGGCCCCTTCAACAAGGAAACACAGATGGTACCGATTATCGGTCTGGACAACAGCGATCTGGCTTCTTCTTCATCAGGCGAGACGGGAGAAGAGTTCAAGGCCAGCGTGCTGGGCGGAGAGGGCACCTTTGTCTCTACCCAGCCCGACAGACTCGTCAAGGCCATCTCGAACGAGCTTGGCATCACCAACTGTACGTGACTTCAACCCCCTCTCCCCCACCTTTGACAACCCCCCATGGCTAACCCCCTGCCAGATTCAAGCATCGTAAACTGGGAACTCGAGCTCTTCGACACGCAGCCCGCACGCACCGGCGGCCTCGATAAAGAGTTCATTTTCGCCGGCCGCATCGACGACAAGCTGTGTTCATGGGCGGCCGTCCAAGCACTACTCAACTCTGCGCCCACGCTCGCAGCTTCATCGCAGATCCGCATGGTGGCCCTCTTCGACGACGAGGAAGTCGGATCTCTGCTGCGCCAGGGTGCCCACGGCAACTTCCTACCCAGCGTCATGGAGCGCATAGCCGAGGAATTCGCGCCCAGCGGCAAAACCAGCAGCACCCTCAGCAGAACCTATGCAAACTCGTTCCTCGTCTCCAGCGACGTCATCCACGCCGTCAACCCCAATTTCCTAAATGCATACCTTGAAAATCACTCGCCGCGCCTCAATGTCGGGCCCGCTGTCTCCGCTGACTCGAATGCCCACATGACGACGGATGCCGTCTCTACGGCTATCCTGCAGCGCTGCGTCGACCGCGACGTGGGCATGCGCAAGATGGATCCCAAGCTGCAGGTGTTCCAGATTCGGAACGACAGCCGCAGCGGAGGCACCGTGGGACCTATGCTGAGTGCTGCGACGGGCATCCGGGCTATTGACTGCGGTATCCCGCAGTTGAGCATGCATAGCATCCGGGCGACGACGGGCAGCTTGGATCCAGGACTGGGTGTGTTTACCTTCCAGAGCTTCTTGGAGAACTTTGAGAGCGTCGACAAGGAGTTTAGATGAGCAGGACTTATTTTGTTTTGTCTCTCTCTCTCTCTTTCTCTTTCTCGGTCGCTTTTCTTGTAACATATTGGTGTATTGCGTCATGGTAATTACAATATAAATTAGCTTCAAATGGTCATTATACCCCCCCTTACAGTTATTCACATCAACAAACTTCGTACGTAAACAAAATGACGACCAAGTGCAGTGTCAGCGTCACTTCAAGGGTCATGGGCTGGGAGAAGCAAAAAACGACCCTCATATTCGTCACGCGTACTCACTTGATCGACTATGGAAATGATATACCCCCAAGCCTTCGTCAACGTCAATGTCAAGCTGGAACCTATTAACTCCGTCATAATGCCGCAAAATTTCAGATCATACAACGTAGCCAGGGAGCGGCTATGGACCATTGGGTCGCGTGGGCATTTCCTCGTCTTCGTCTGCATCCTCGGGGTGACTAGGTGTCCGTTAGCTCATCTTGGCTTCGGTCTTGCGGAAAAAGAAAAGAAAGGCCACTCACCCGAGGAGATCTTTGACGTTTTTCATCTCGTAGTGCTTCTTGCGTAGCTCTTCGAATTTGCGGTGCTTATCTTTTTCCTCTTGCGTCGCATTTGGGAGCAGCTCGCCGTGATAGCCCTCGTCCGTGTCCATGCCCTCCTCGACAATGACTCGTTTCTCGCTATCGGGGGTGTGGGAGTGGCGCGTCTGCAGCTCGGGCTGGCCTAGGTCGAACTCGGGGATGTCATCGATTTTCGGCTTCCGCTTAGCTTGGTCTAGCTCGTCGACCTTGAGCTCTTGGGGATTGAGCATCTCGATCTCCTCCTCGTCCTCGGCAGGGTCGTATTGCTTGGCGTAGGGGGTCTTTGGCTCGTCAATCTTCATGGTGCTGTCGCGGTTCTGCTCGTTGAGGTAGAGGTTGGCCTCGTCCCACTTGAGCTGTGGGCTAATGTCGTCGGCGGGGTCTGCGCCCGATTGACGGCGCGAGGGCACGCCGCGGGGGTTGGACGAGGAGCGTCGGTGGGCGCCCGCATTGCGCAGCGTGTTCTCGAGGACTATTTCCTTTTCCGACAGCTCACGGCCCAGCTGGGGGCGCTCCGAGATGGGGCTGGTGGCAGGCGGCAGATCGCGCGTGGGCGAAGTGTGCGAATTTGAGCGGTACGACGAGGAGTTTTTGAGGATGCCTGGGCGAGTTAGCTGGGTGCGTGCATGCGGGGGGGCAAGCGGCCGACCGACCCTTGGGCCGCTCGGGATGCGCGCTGGGCGAGTGCAGCTGGGGCGAGTGCGCCGTCATTGTGCGGGCGGAGCTGGGAGATGTGTGTAGTGTGCAGAGATGCGATGCGATGCAGGCACGTGCGAGCGGAGATGGGGTGCGGGTGTATGTGTGGTTGCGTATGGTTGTGTGTGCGTGTGGGAAAAGCAAAGAGGCGGGCGGGGACAGGGGAGCTTTGTAGGACAGCAGCAGGCAGGCGCACGACAGTGGCTCGGGGCAAGCGCAGTCGAGGGCTTCGCAGCGGGCGTGGTGGGGGTGCGTTGGCCTGGTGAACGGGCGGAGCGATGACGTCGGCGGTACCTTGCTTCACCCCGCTCACGGATGGGGGGAGCGATGCAGGTGCAAGGAGCGGCAGGGCTACCTGGACATAAGTATACTATAGCTAGACCATCTGCTTCCGCCGTAAGCTGGGCGCAGCGTAACGCGGTTGCAGTGGTAGCAGTAGCTTGCAGGTTGCGTGATGCGCGCCGGCTTTGCCATGCCTGACAGCTGCGGCTGTGGCCGCGCCACTCGCTGCTCGCACCGCACCGCACCGCATCGCATCGCATCGCCAGAACACCAGCTCAGGCTCAGCAAGACCATCGCCAGGCCCCGAGGCACACGCCGAACACCAACACCGCGTGGCGCGCAGCAGGCCCCCTTGCAATCGCCATCGCAATCGCGGAAACAAAACACTGGGGCGGGCCACCACCACCACCACCACCACCACCACTACCATGACTATCACCACCACCATGCCACTGCTGGGATCCGCACGCGGGCCTATCAATGCCCAACACTTGGGCTGCCTGTACTCGCACTCGCGGCCGTGGCCTTGGGCATCACATGCAAATCATACGCATACGCATGCACATGGGCGGGCAGCTGGCGAGATGCTGGCTGACTGCCCTGCACGCCATCCCATTCTACAGCAATAGACTATCTTTTTTAACTTTGATATACACCATGGGCGCAGGGCTACAGCGGCGCCTGGCGGTCAGGTTACCACTACGTCTTCTGTCACCCGCCATGGCCGGGCACCAGCCCATGCACTCGCCCCCTCAGGAGACGCGCTGCCCACGCCCATGCCGTGCCGTCGCCGAGTGTCTGCGCCCCCAGTTAGCACGCCGTCTCTCTCGTCCCCCCCCCCGGGCTACACACACACAACCGCAGCAGGCGCCGTGTCAGACTTTGCCTTGGAGCTTCATGCTCAACCAAGAAATCGCCGCAGCGATAGTGTACATCTGGCTGAGACTCAGACTACCAGAAGTGGTCCCACAGGACCCTCATCCCCGGCCGTCGCGCGCAAAAATCAGGATCGCACACATACAAAGATAAAATGGAAAAATGGGAGGCTGTCACTGCGACAGCTCCCCCCCGTCCTGACGCGTCGCGCGTGACAGAATTATGTCCCTGCTTTCAGGTCATCACCGCATCATGGAAGCCGCCGAAGCGTCCCTCGTGATGATGGTTTTAGAAGAGGATGGCTCGCTCTGGGCCGGTGTCCGAGTTGCCAGCTGCGTGGGGAAAAAGCGTCGAGCTGGCAGAGATTTCGAAGTCCGAGGCCGGTGTTGTGAAGAAGGAGGCGAGGAGGGGCGCGGGCGCGCGCTCGAAGAAGAACGCAGAGCCTGGCGGGCTCGGCTGCTGACTAAGCCCCGCCCTCGTTGCCGCGCAAGGCGCGCGCCTGAGCTGCAAGTGCTAACCTCTCAAACGTTTTCTCAATCCGCTCCACTATCCGGCATTCGCATACCACACATCCCACCCGCACCACGCACCGCACTCCCACACTCTCCGTCTTCTCCACTCCCCAATTGTACCATCACATCATCCATACCGCCCGTCCGCTCTTCGCCGCCACCACGCCCGCCCTCTTGCAATTTCCACCCCGCACGCCGCCCGCGCACATTGGCCCTCTGCCCTCTGCCCGCCCAGCTCGTCCATCCCTTGTTCCCGCGCCACGCCCACCCAGCCTTGGATACCATACCCTTCTTCTATTGTATTATTTACCCACTTGCTACTGCTGCCAATGGACAACAGGGACAACCTCTGGACTCGGCGCTCCAAGTAGGCTCGCATGACCCCCGCATCCTCGCTTCCACTCCAACTGACCCGCAACCCCCCCAATAGCACCAGCAAACTCTCGCTCTCCATGTCGCATTCCGAACCTAACGACAAATCCGAACCACACCAGCGCACCGTCTCGGCCACCAAACGCTTTGGTGGCGACTCGTCGCACGGCGGCCGCAATCCCTTCAACGCCATCCCCCCATTGACACCGGGCGGCCTCGCGTCGCCAACCACTGGCGGCTCGTCTGCCTTTGGCCTGGGCTCGGGCGCTTTTGCCTCGTTTGGCTCCGCCGCGAAGACGCCCAAGACGCCCGGCACCGCCTTCGACTTCAAAGCTGCAGCCATGTCGTCTCCGGCACCCACAACACCCTCTGAGAAGAAGGACAAGCCCGTGAGCAAGGTGGTCAACAGCATACGAAAAGAGACGACATCCACAACCTCAATACCAGAAAACGCGGCGAGCCCGTCGGCACCGCCAGATTTCAACGCGCCGTGGCCGCTCAAGTACACTTGGGCCGTCTGGTACCGCCCGCCCACAGCCAAGAACGTCGACTATGAAAAGTCGATTGTCCCGCTGTGCAGGTTCAGTACTGCTCAGGAGTTTTGGCGAGTCTTCTCCCACCTCAAGCGGCCCTCGAGTCTGCCCTCCGTGTCCGACTACCATGTCTTCAAACAAGGCATACGGCCGGTATGGGAGGACGACGAGAACAAGCGAGGTGGAAAATGGATCATGCGCCTGAAAAAGGGCGTCGCGGACCGTTACTGGGAAGACCTCTTGCTCGCTCTCGTGGGCGATCAGTTCTTGGACGCTGGCGACGAATTCTGCGGCTTTGTCTTGAGTGTCCGAAGCGGCGAGGACGTCTTTAGCATCTGGACTAAGAGTGACGGAGTAAAGAACGTCAAGATCCGGGATACCATTAGGCGCGTCCTCAAACTGCCCGAGGGCACCAACATAGTGTGGCGGAGCCATGACGACAGCATTGCGCAGCGCTCGGCTATTGACCAGGCCCGCCACGAAAAGAATCTTATGGAGAAGCGGAGGGTGACTTCGACAGAAGAGAAACCACCAGCTGGATCCTAAATCACTCCTTGAGCTCCCGAGCTAACGACTTGTTTCCAAGCTCGGCACTTGGGCCACACGCTCCCATGCTGTTTTCGCAGATACACCTACAGTCTTGGACCCACAAATGCTTCTAGGCACCATAATCGAGGGCCAGCGACAGGAATGCCATGTCCTGGCTGGATGTGGAATTTTAGTGCAGGCTCCGCTTGCGTGTAAAAAATACCTGGGCGATCATATCAGCCATTCGCTGATGCGTCCATTGCACACCATGCTACCACTATGCAAAATGTCACAGCATAGTTGGCATTGCAAGGTTTTGCTCAGCTTCTTTCCGAAGCCAGTATCACAGATACGTGTCGCGTAGCCCCGTGACTATGAAAGATAATACTATACTGATGCGCACATGACTGGTGCGCTCTGTTCCAATGAGCCGATGCTACAAGTGAGCTGCAAGTGATTTTCTGCATGACTTTTGTCAAGAAGCCTGGATTTGCATCCGACATTTATGAAAACGACCCACCTGCTTACAAAAAGAAAATATACTATGCTGACGTGATGGCTCCGAAACCCCAAATTACACAGGTTTTGCACTCGCAGCCGCGCCCATGTCGAGACACGGCGCACGGACGTCATCGCGACTCACTGGCTGGCGCAACTTCACTTCCACATGCCCCACGGTGCGCGCATGCGCTTCGTGCGTTTCCCTCGCCCATCTTGACCCTTCCCATACTCACCCAATAATGACTCCACCTGCCGCCTTGCCACCGCAATGCTACACCAATGATTTCTAGGTTATTTCATGGCCTGAAAGCTACGATCACCGAGGGCGTCACAAACACAGACGTACGCGCACTTTTCTTTACAGACCCGTCGACCGTTCCGGACCCTACTACGACCATTCGTACTGGTGGCCGAACCTGTCGCTTCTGCGAGCTAACACCATGTCGCTACAGGCAAACGATGCCCCTGCCCAGTCGCCGAGTTTCGACTCGCCTCCGCTTCCCTTGCGTCGGAATTTACCGTCCGCCTCAAAGCCTACGCCCGATGTTATAGACCTGTCTTCGCCCACAGAACCACGGAGTCCGTCTCAACGCGCGGACAAAAGGCCCGATACTTACCTCCACCGGTTGTCGAGGCATACTGTGAGCAACGACGAGAAGCGCTTAATTGGCGATTTCCGGTAAATCACCTCGCCATATATGGGAAAGATGTAGAAAGAAGAAAGGGCTGACGGTGGGATAGTGTCCCTGCAGACGCAGTCCTAATTCCTGATCCGTCAAGTTGGATGAACAAGTCGCAGAACATGAACTCCAAGGTATGTTTGTAGACAGCCATGCTTATAAACCCTTATGCTGATGCTTTGGAGCCGGCTGCGAACAGGGGATACAAGCCACTTGATACGCTCACCAACCCCGCTTGTACGCCGCATCGAAAGCATACGACCTATGGCAAAAATGACCGTCCTCGTCCTTCTCTGATAGGCCAAACGAGAGGTCCAGGCGAGAGAGCCTACTCCGAATTCCAACAAAGCAAACGAAGCAAAGCGCCTACGTCACCAACTCGCCATATACCATCACGAGACGAGGAAAATCAACGGACTGGGACACCTACATCTGGCAAACGAAGAAAGACTGAGCATGTCATAAATCTGGATGATGACGAAGATGACACAATGTTGGCAGGGACTCGGTCTGGTATCACTACGCCAACAGGGACATCCCATGAAAAATCACTCTCCGCCAGGTCCTCGCAGTCGCGATTGAGTATCGGAAGTGAAAGTACTGGGGCAGACTTTAGACCATCGCAAGTCGCAAGCGAGTTCCGCGAAGTCGACTGTCTCCTTAGGACTTCCCAGAAAAAGCCCAGACGATCAAGCTCCGGCAAACGTCAAGCTCCTCAACCGAATTCACCTTTCGGCAGCGGCTCTATGTCTGCGGGTCGCCAATCCATACTACGGAGCTTCAAACAAGGCGAAAGCAGTCATCGAGCCACAGAGCATGAGCAGCATGGATACACAGGGCAATCGGTCACGTCTGCGGCTTTCCCTGATGCCCGTATCAACGAATCGACAACAGAACCACCACGCGCCAGCATTCTCTCAATTTCCGGCAGCGCAAACCTTCGCACCCAGCATCGACCCGTGCCGAAACGAGTAGACCGGAAAGAGGACAGCGACAGTGCGGATGAGCTTGCATTCTCGCCTACTACTGCGAGGAAGCGGACGCGGTCTCCGTCCAAACTAAAAAAAGTTGCAAATGGTGGCGATAAACGACATGGACCCGGTAAAGATGACAGTAGTTGGCCGCTGTCTTTCGCAAGATCACATGACTGTCACGAGGCCGGCCCCTTAATGGGGGATGGCCACGCAACTTTGGTTCTGCGAAGCGATCCAAATGGATGGCGCGTCCAAAAGTACGGTGCAGAGGGCTATGAGACAGTAATGTTAATCGATTCCCAACGTATCAATAAGGTGCAAGCAGACGAGACAAGTCGTATCCGTTTGAATGGGCCCAGGGTTGTAGATGGCAATGTTGGCATCTTCGACCTTCAGTTTCGCAGCTCGCTTGACTTTGTGAAATTCCGCGACACATACGCAGCGCGCTTGACAACGAATGGGAGAGTTAAAATCAAAACAGGGTAAGGGTCCTAGCACATGTCTAGTCAAATACTAACATGGTTGCAGTGACTATATGCGCCAACTATTCGCAACAGCTTTACCGCCAAGAAACAACAAGATAAGTGCGGCTGAACCCTCGAGTAATACAGTACAAGGTGCAATGGCCGATCATACGATTCCCAAATCGGCAGAGAAATCGCCATGGAATGGAACGAAGAATTCTGGGAAAGGAGCCGAAGATGGCTCTACCTCTAAAACAAGCACTAGAACCACGTCGTCGACTCGTTCGTCTCGCTTGAGATCATCTGCACCTACTCATGTCTTTGAGGATGATACCGAAATCTCCGAAGTGTCCAAATACTCAATCGATACAGGACTGGGACGACGGTGGGCCAGGTAAATACCAAGACCCGACTATATCGTTTTTCTGATCAGATTTAGGACCTTGGAGTATGGGGAAGGCCGCCAGCGTGCCATTGTGCATTTCGATGATCTACCACGCCTGGACGAAGAAGAATTCTTGAATGACAGTCTAATCAACTTCTACATGATGTACGTTATCGGTACTCCGGCCAGGGCAAATACTAACTCGATGGAGCTATCTGTTCAAGAAGCTCAAGGTTCCCGCAGACAAAGTTTACTTCTTCAATACGTACTTCTTCACCCGACTCACGGAAAATGCTGGCCGCAAATCAATGAACTACAAGGCCGTTGAGCGATGGACATCCAAGATCGACATCTTCGGTTACGACTACATTATCGTGCCCATTAATGAATCGCAGTACGTCAAATTGCATCTCACAAAGATATCCACTGACCTCTCCCAGGGCCCATTGGTACTTGGCAATTATTTGCAATGTCTCGAGCATCCAACGCAAGCCTGTACTGGAAGACTTTGAAGCCCCACGTTCTCGCACACAAGAGCCGTCTGAATCTTCGGTCAATCCAGCCACAGCAAGTGACATTGAAGATTGTACGACGCTGCCTTCTGCCCCAGATTCAAGGCTACCTGCAGAAGACAAAGACGTACCGAGCCAACAAGAGGAGGACGCCAATCTCTTCGAAGAGACGATATCTCTAATCGACCGTGATGATACTGGAGGGACTCAGCCAAGTGCCCGGGCTGATGAAGCTGATGCAATGTCTCTCGAGACGAAAGATGATATTTTAGAAGACCTTGAGGCAACCGCCGATGCAAATCCCACGATTCAAGATCAACTAGTCCAGGGTGCATCACTTACAAAGAATAAGACCAAACGCAAGGCCTTTTCCAGAAGAGACCCCGAACAGCCTGTCGTTGTTGTACTAGACTCTCTGGGGGGAATGTCCCGTAGCGGGGCAGTTCGTACCCTCAAAGACTGGATAGCTGCAGAAGGCAAAAGCAAGCGGGGTATGGAAGCCGTCATCAAAGAGAACGGGTACTATCCGAAAAGCTCTCAGATCCCGATGCAAAACAACTGGAGCGACTGCGGTGTCTACTTACTGGGATACGTCGAAAAGTTTTTTCAGAACCCGGAGGAATTCATGCACAAACTACTGACCGGGTCAATGTCAGCCAAAGAAGACTGGCCAGAGCTGAAGCCTTCGGAGATGAGGCACAAGATACGAGACATAATCTTTGATTGCTACAATCAGCAAGAGGAAGCAAGAAAGGACCAGAAAAAGACCAACAAGGAGCCGGCGAAACCAAAAGTGTTGCCAGGTTCGACTGCACAGCAAACTACCCAACTTGATGGCGCGCCTTCACTTGCTGGCCACGTCTCATCTGAAAAGTCTCCGAGTTTGAAGTCAAATGATGAACATGGAGACCACGCTCAGGATGAAACTCCAGTACAAGGTCAGTTGCCTGTATCATCTTTCCAACTCGAACTAGGTTCCCCGCTTGAGCTTCACAAGGAACACACACCCGCCAACGAGGATTCGCCATGGGGACGTGTAATGAAAATATCCGACTCACCACCAATAGTAAGGTCTCCTGTCGAGAAATCCTTTGGTGCTCAACCTTTTAACCAGGCACCAAGAAGACACAGTCCCGAGGTCCATATAGCTAGTAGAGCCTCGCAGTATCCTGGGTCAATCGACAACGACCAAACTGGTGCCAATCTATGGAACAAACCTGCACCACGCTCACCCACGCTTAGCAAGCGGCAAAGACATGACGATGACGACCATGCGAGGGGATTACCAAATGCGAAGAGATCATTTTTCAGTCCGCCGCGAGGCCAGAATCGGAACGGCAATTCAGGAACACAGGCCTTATTCCCGCACAGCTGGGGGGAGGGTAGCGCGCGCAACATGCCTATAGAGATTGAGGATTCACAAGAGATGGAAGCTGTGGGTCCTGTGCCAAGTCGCCATGTGCAACGTCCGCTTGCACATGGGAAGCTATCACCGCATTTGCAGAGAAGGATGCAGACTCTTCGGGATTCACCGTCATTTGAAGAAATCCCTCGTCCGTCATCCCGAGTTGACAGCCGAAATCGTGGGCCACGTGGCGCGGTGAATCATGGCCATGATTCAGTGGATGCAATCTCACAATCGACGGACCAGATGCAACTGGATCAAGGGGAGAGTGATAGCGTCAGAGAAACCCCAGAGCCTAGAAGGAGGAGTCCGACAGGATGAATTAAGCACAGAGGTCTTTTGCGGAGCGATGCCTGGAGAGATGGCCAGTATGGAGTGGGAAATTGTCTCGCACTTTGTCGTTTTTCTACTTTTTCTTCAACTACATTCATACACTCACTAGCATGGCGATGGCGTTCCTGCTGCATATACCAACGGGTCGGCAATCTTGTGACGCTTTTTCCTATATATTGGCGAGTCGCCCCTGTCAAGGAGGAAGGGGAGATATACCTTGAGTACTCTGTGTAATCATGTCAGGGTGAGATGTAACTGTATGCCAACAAGCTCATTTCACACTGCACTCTCTAGTATCTTGGCGTTTGTCTGGCCTCCTTCGCCCAATTGTCGTGAGATGGTTCCATTGGCACCGCGTCCGCCTGTAGGATCGTCCAAAGCGGCCACTGCATCGTCGACGTCTGTGAAAGATTAGCACTGCCATCTTTTCCCCAAGCCCCCCTCCTTTGAGTAGCAAAGGAAGGGTCCGGTACCACACTAGTCAGCTGCCCTTACCCTGAAACCCCTCATCCCTCTCTGCCACCGCTCCCCCAACCCACCGCTTCATCTTGTCCCTCACAAACTCTGCGAAATCCCATTCCTCCGCCTCGAGTCTGTGTGCGCCTGCAACCCAGATGTACGTCTCTGCCTCGACCTCCTCCTCGCTCTCGACATTATCCTCCTCCTTTTGCGCCAAATCGCCCATGCCACCTTCCCCGCCATTTTTCCCCCCAGCCTGGCCCTCCTCCACCTGCGCTTGCACCAACGGCCGCACTCTCACTCTTCGCCGCGCATACTCGTGCCCCTCGAAGATATCAAGCCGCCAGATATCGCCGTCGGTCAATCCCTGCACCAGTGTTCCGCGCACAGAAGCCGACGGCGACGAGGGCAGAATAGCAGGGTAATCCGCATTCCGCACCTTGTGCCGCCGGTGCGCGTGCAGGATGGCGGGGCGGATGTGCAGCAGTGAGGCGTGGGCGGGCGTGGGCGGCGTCGTCGAGCCCCAGATGACGCGGTGCAGGACGGGCGGCGCCATCAGCGTGCCGTAGAAGAAGGCTGTGTGCGACATTCTCGCAATTGGAACCTTAGCAAGCGTTTTTCGAGACTGCTTATGGCTGGGCGTAAGTAATGGTAAGTAAGACAAGGCGGGTCATGTGATGACGCAGGCGGCGGCGATAAGACACAAAAGCTTATCGGCATGGAGAATGCGAAATCTTGATCGGTAAGGCTGACCGCCCCGGCCCGCTAATGCAAAGACAGATCGGTGGGCCTGCTCATGGAATTCTTGTTCTCCCTTTCTTTCTTTCTCGCTCTCCCTCTTGTTTACTGTTTCTCGCTCAAAACCCCGATCTTCGTTGTTTTTTGCGTTCATTTTGCTTGCGCCTACATACGCTTGTTTGTTGTTCTTTTTTTCTGCTTCTTCCATCCCCCGCGTCTTGTTTGCAGCGTTCGGTGGTCTGCACATGCCTTTTTTTATTTCAAAAGAAGAAGAAGAAGAACGGAAAGCAACGGAAGTGACGTTGTGTCGGGGCGTTGTCGTTTACAAGGGGGGCCGTGTGTGTGATTCCGACTGCGCCTGCGCCCGTTCCGAGGGATACCGGTGAAACCTTATTATTGCGCATTTCGCCCGACATACGACAACCGACAAACGACCCAGACAAGCGGTCATACAGAGACGCCGACCATGTTCTTTGTCAGCGCCATAGTAAGGAACATTGCTCCCATCTTGTACGCGACCTGAACTACCTTCTCTCTCTCTCTCGCTCTGTCTTGTTCCTACGTATCTAACGCCTGTAAAACCCCCTTCCAGCATAGCAACCAGCCCCGTCACCAGTTATGGCGACCAAATCTACTCGATGCACCGCGCGCGCAGCTCGGCCGGCTTCTCCCTCGATATTCCGCTCATCATGCTCGTCGCCAGCATCCTCAAAGTATACTACTGGTTCGGCGCACACTTTAGCACCTCGCTGCTGATCCAGGCCCTACTGATGATTTGCGTCCACCTCCTGCTGCTGCACGTTGCACTGACGCATCGCCCGCCGCCGTCGCATCTGCCGTTTCAGCACAAGGAGCCGTCGAACCGGCCCTACGACTTTTGGCAGTGGCGCGCCCCTCGCCCCTACTGGACCTTTATCACGTATTTCGCCGGCGGCCTGCTGCTCCTGCATCTGCTCATGAGCTCCACGACTATATTTATCCCGTACACGGATTTGCTGGGCGGCATTGCATTGACAATCGAGGCGACGCTACCGCTGCCGCAGCTGCTGGCAAATCACCAGCGCAAGGGTTGCAAGGGCTTCCGTCCCAGCGTCATTGTCAATTGGGTCATTGGCGATACCTTCAAGATGTGGTTTTTCTTCGCTAGCAGTAATGGCGAGGTTCCTTGGGCGTTCAAGGCCTGCGGCATCTTCCAGGCATGCTGCGATTTGGGTCTCGCGGCCCAGTACCTCGTCTGGGGCGATGGGCCCGCCGGTGTTGAAGGTCTGGGTAGGGAAAAAGAACTTCGGAGTCCTATCCATCCAGAGGTGGATTGGGGCATGGAGAAATTGGGTCACGCCGGTGTTACGGCGGGCATTGAGATGAATGATGGTCAGGCGTGGGAGAGACCGAGGCTTGGGTAGACAGGAAGACTTGTTTAATCCAGGCGAGGCTTGGTATCCACCTAGAGGGATGCGCCTGGGCTTGTGTTGTGTTGTGATGAGATGAGATGAGATGGAATGATTGAAATGTACATGGGACATCAGGCATGTCGAGTTTTTTTTTTGTCTTAAATGTAAATACCGTAATAATGATTCAAGTGAGGAAGGAGGGGATTAGATGCTTTTTATGCGTTTTCGCATTCCATCTTTATGTACGACAAAGCAATTACAATTGATAAAGTCCAAGTTAAGAAAAAACTTAGCTCAATGCATGTAGTCTGTGAAATGATCAAGGAGTCATGCAGTTTTTTTTTGGGAGGGGGGGCGGATTTTGAAAATAGACGCGGCTCATTTGTAGCTAGAGGGGAAAAGATGATATGCTGAATCACGGGGTGGGAGGTGGGAAGGGTGTTTTTTCTTATGTCTTTGGAGAAGCATGATATGTATATAGTCTTGCATCGAGTGGGTGTGGGTAATTAACACGGTGTGTGTATGTAGGATGGATATATATATATATATATATTTATATATGGATGAATAGCTAGAGAAATCCGTACACCCAGGGGTATGAAATTTGAATAATTTTTTTTTATTCACTTCCCCTTTCTTCACTTCTTGGCTACTACCTCTTTATTCTACATGTCATCAGTGTTTTATTTTTTTTGTATCAGTAGTTTTCCACAAATTTAGAGAAAAAAAGAAAAAAAATTAATTCTTTACAGCTGAGTAAATGTCTTTTTTTTGGCCTACTCAGCCTTTCTTCTCTTTATTTTTTTTTCATTTGTTTCACTTGTTCTCTCGTTTCTACGTACCCGGCTTTATGTTATGTATTATGTTTGCTCTACGCATGTTGTGATAATGATATGGGTATGGTGCTTACTTCGCTGCGGTAGTAGTACTAACTGGGTATAGGTGGTGTTCATTTTGAGAAAGAAGAAGAAGAAGAAGAAGAAGAATAAGAAGAAGAAGAAGGGTTTATGGGGGGGTTGTAAAACTGTGGTGTTGGATGGTTAGATGGTTGAGTGATGGATTGAGTGGACGAAAGTGGAGTCAAGGGAGGGAACGTGAGTATCAAGGGAGAGAAAGGGAAAAAGGCGTGATTTATCGAAGCTCAAGACAAGCGCTGGTGTCCTGGTGTCGTAGGTACTTAGATGACATGACATAAGACGAAATGCGATAATGGTCAATGGAGATACAACGGAATGAGATTACATGTCTCTGACAGAGAAATCCAAAGCAAGAATAAGGAATTCAGGAAGAAGAATAAAATAATGACCATGGTCATGATAGTAACTATATACACCCGAGACTAAATCTTCCATATCCGAACAATGCAAACCAATCATATACGAACTTGATAGCTATATTTCGTGATTTCATTACCCTCCTTATATACTTCTTCTTCTTCTTCTTCTTCTTCTTCTTCTTCTTCTTCTTCTTCTTTCTCATCGCAATCATCATCATAATCATGCAAGAACCAAGTAACACCCCAAATCCACCTCTCACACCTACTTGGGCACAACCTCCGGCTCTACACTCGTCAGCGTAGGAACGACAGGCTTGATAAACCCCTTGTCATCAAAGTATACGCGATCAATCGTCGTTTCGCGATGCGTACCGTCGCCATTGGGAATGGCAAAGCGGTGGTACGCAATGTACCAGTCGTCTGTACGCGGGACGTTGACGATGGAGCTGTGGCCCGTAGCCAGGATACCGAGGGTGGCGTTTTTCTGCAGGATGACGCCGCGGTAGGTCCAGGGCCCGTCGACGCTGGTCGAGGTGGCGTAGCCGACGCGGTAGTTCTCCGAGCCCGTGTCGTCGATCGAGTAGGTGAGGTGGAAGAGCCCCTTGCGGTAGTTGACGAAGATGCCTTCGCGGAAGGAGGTGAGTCCGCTGATGGCGCGCGTTGTTCCGCTCTTGAGGGAGACCATGTCGTCGGCGAGTTCGGCGTACAGAGCGGGTGTGCCGTTGCCCCAGAAGATGTAGTATTTGCCGGTTGTCGGGTCGCGGAAGACGGCGGGGTCGATGGCTTGCCCCGTGGTGATGGCCTCGTTGTTGAGGATCATGGCTTCGGGTTGCGCGGTGAAGGGGCCGTCGGGGGAGGAGGCGACGGCAACACCAATGGTCTTGCGGTTGTACTTGGAGTTCTGGCCGCTAAAGTAGAAGTAGTATTTGCCTCCGCGCTCGATGATGGTGGGAGCCCACGCGTTGCCAGTTGCCCAAGGGACGTTTCCATCGGTGCCGTTCAGCGTCAAGAAAGGCTTCTCGGATCGCGTCCACGAAGATAGATCGCGCGATTTCCAGACGTAGAAGACTTGGCCGCCCCAGCCGGCGAATCCGTCGGTCGTGGCGTAGATGTAGTAGGTGTCGCCAAAGACTGCAATGTTGGGGTCCGCATACAGCCCTTTGAGTACGGGGCTTCCGGTTCGGGGGCGCAGACGAGTGCGCTCACGGACAGCGACTGGCGCTCCACGGCGTCCTAATGCCGAATTTAAACCAGCGAGCTCCTTGGCTGTGACAGGAATCACGGTTCCGTGGCGTGGGCTACGCGGCAGAGAGTAGGAAGATGAGACTTTCCAGGTTGGCTTTGACAAACTCTGGCTCTCCAGTGGAATGTATCCACGGCCACCGTACTCGTCGACAAAGAGGTAGAACTTCTGACCGTTCACGTCGCCTGGGTTTGCCTTGAACACAGTCGGGCCCTCAACGGCGCTGGTTCCAGCGTTACGGCCAATGCACACGGCAACCTGGGACCAGGAGCTGACAGGAGCGAGAAGAGATGATGAGCTTTCCTCGATAATGTCCGCACACTTGGTGCCTGTGCCTCCCTCGTCCTTGGTGAAGCGGTAGAAGGTGTTTCCGTCCTTTATGACGGTGGTGTCGATGCGCGACATGCCAGCGTCCTGCCAGATTTTGGGTTCGCTGAACGTGACAAAGTCTCGCGTGGTCACGTAGAGCATGCGGTGGTATGTGCTTCCAGTGCGGTTGACGTCGCTCGCGGCATACAGCGAAGAAGCCCAGAAGACTACGTACGAGCCCAGGTCAGTGTCGTAGTAGGCCTCGGGAGCCCATGTGTTTCCAGCCGTCGAAGGAGAAACCTTGACATGGCGCTGCTTTGACCAAGTCTGGAGGTCGTTGGATTCCCACACCTCGAGGTAGAGACTGCCGAATCGAACTGAGTCGCCCCACGAAGTGCCGGATCCAATGGAGAGATCAGTGGCGAGCAGGAAAAACCTGTCGCCCTCGGGTGATCGGATGACAAAAGGATCACGGAGTCCCTTTGTGCCGAGAGTCGAGGCCAGGACGGGCTGTCCGCCATTCAACTCTTTCCATTTCAGGGCGTCGTTGCCCTGGCTGGCTGCCATGTAGATTTTCTCGCCGGCTATGGAGTTGCCTGTGAAGTAGGCAAAGGCGTAGCCTTGGAACGGGTCGAGTGCAACCGCTTGGCGCACATTGGCGTTGAAGGTGCGGTTCGAAGTCACTCCATCTTGGTCTATGACGGCTGTGAGGCTGACCGCGGTTGTGAAACTCTGTCGCTTTACGATGCCATCTTTCGATATGACTGATGGGTTGCTGCTTGTCCAGGTGACTTTGAAGTCGCCCGATGTGTTTGGCAGGTTGATGTTTCCGCGTACGTCTCCAAGGTTGGTGATTGTAATACTACTCAGAGCCTGCAGGGCCCGCGAGTTGGCAGCACCTGATTGTGCAGAGGCTGTGGACCACAGACCCCATGCGTAGATGGGGAGGTAGAAGGGACGCATGGCCGGCAGTGGGAGGTAGGGACGAAGCAAGGCCGTCTCAAGAGCGGTACGTGCAAGGCATCAAATAGCCTCATAATATACCACCGCCCATGTGGAAGCGATACCCAGCCGGTCCTTTGTGACTACAACCACCGGAAGTGATACCTACCAGACACGAGCATCTCGTATGCCGCACAGGGGTGGAGAATATCCACGAATGCGCAGCAGCCAGTGGACCGTTATGCCTGAGCGGGTGTCTCCGTAGACGGCATGTGCAGAGCATCATGGCCACGAACAGCTAGGCCAGAGCGGAGCATTCCCCATACTCGTCGCCATCTCGGGCCATCTATAGTGCGTGCTCGCAACAGCAGCGCGCGGGCGAATGGCGATGACGCCGTGTCCAGGTCACGCTGCAACGGCTTTTGCGGGGTGCCGCGCTAAATGGCTTGGCGATGCGGAAAAATAGCCACCCGGACGCTGAACTCCCCAAAGCATCTCCATTCTCCACCCACAGCTTGTTTTCCGCACTGCTGCCCGGGAGCGTTACATAATGCGTTACTTTACCACCTTCACGCCCCCAGCCAGTCGGCGGTACCCTCCAATGCCGCCGAAGCCTCGGCAGTCTGCTTGCGCCTGGAAATACACCACATTGGGCAAAGCGCTGACACTGACCTACTGCCATGGACCTGGAAGCTACGGTCTTGTTACTGATAACAGAGGCCGATAGTGCGACCTAGTGGTTCTGTAGGAGAGACCGGTATTACAACCTAGCGGCTCTGTGTCAGTGGCTGGGGCTTCCAGAGTGTGGACTGGACCAACACTACACAATGACGCCATGGCCTAACGGAGCGACTACGGACCTTGGCTGCTTCACGGACGAGCAGAGGAGCATGTCGAGCGTTTGGACCGGGTGTTGATAACGGGTGCGACTCCCACGTGCATAGCATGTGTTGATGTCGCGCAGAGGCGGAATTCCTTTATCAGCATGTTCCCATCACCAAGTCCTTGGCAATTCTGGCAAAGAGGCGGAAAAAGCTCGGCATGCAGGCTAAATTTTGGCTCGGACCGGAACGTGAGTGCTTCGACTCCTCTTAGTGGCTGCCGCTCTAGAAAAGACCCAGACGCTCCATTGTCCGGCATGGTAGGGAATCTTCGTGCCGTCGCCTACAACGCATCAAGTCGACACTCTTACCGCTCAACAGCGTTCAAAAAAGCCATGCGAGTCTGGGAAAGAAAGGAAATGCCCTATGGACCAAGCTCCAGGGGCTGGTGCACGTTCTCTGAGCCTTTGAGGCATCAAACAGGTCGATATGAGAGTCGCAGTCCCCTTCCGAGGACCTATTCCATCTTTGCATTATGAGGCAGGTCCAAGACTCAAGTCTCTACCACGCCAGCGGTTCGAGTGCTTGTCCTCAATATACAATGAATCTTCCCTGCTAAGAACACCATACTAGGTAGGTACGAAAAGACTGAATGACTATAAATTTCTCCTCTCTCGAGGCTCAAGTACCGTAGCCACGCGTTTGACTCTTCAGTGAACCCGTCCTCAGTCCCAGTCTCCCTTTTCTGTGCTTGAATTCGATATTGCAATCATCGCACATCATGCGCACCTCAGCAGCTCTTACAGTTATATCCTTGGCACAAGCAACACTAGCCGCCATCGAGCCTAGGAACTTCATCTTTGTCGTCCCAGATGGCATGGGCCCTGTCTCCCAGACTCTCGTCCGAACGTACTTGTCGATGGTAAATGGCGACTCCACCGCTCGAGCACCAAGGATCAAATCTCTTCCCCTTGATGCAGCCGTCATTGGAAACACCCATACCCAGTCTGCCAACAACCTGGTGACTGATTCGAGCGCTGCCGGAACCGCCCTTGCAACCGGCCACAAGACCAACAATGGAGTCGTTGGACTCTTGCCTGACGGCACGCCAGTTGGATCCATCATGGAAGCCGCAAAGCTGGCTGGCTATCTCACCGGCCTTGTCGTGACTTCACCCATTAGTCATGCGACCCCTGCCTGTAAGTCTGCACTCAGACTAAAACCCCATTCAGTACTAACAACACTAGCATTCTTTTCCCACGCTGCTACCCGCAACTCGCTGGGCAAGATAGCCGAGCAGCAAATCGGCTACAGCCACCCTCTTAACATCAGCGTAGACCTGATGCTCGGTGGCGGCCGCTGCGACTTCCAGCCACAAAACGAAACCGGTTCCTGCCGAACTGACAACATCGACCTCTTTGCTTACGCAAAGTCAAAGGGGTACTACACCGCACGTGACCGCGCGGGTTTCGACGCTCTCGAGTTGGGCCTTGGCGCCATCCAGCTCCCCTACGTCGGCCTCTTCAAGGACGGCGATCTCAGCTACGAAATTGACCGCCAACAGCAAAGCCCCCATGTGCGCGAGCCCTCGTTATCAGAAATGACGCAAACGGCGCTAAACTCGCTGTCACGCGCTACCCAGTCCACCGAGAAGGGCTACATGATGATGATTGAGGCGTCGCGTATCGACCACTCGTCGCATGCTCACGACGCCGTTGCCCATCTGCATGATGTGCTCGAGTTTAACAAGGTGACTGAAATTGTCATGAAATGGATTGACGAGCACCCCGATACTGCGTTCCTCGCTGTTGCTGACCACGAGACGGGCGGTATCACAATTCCATCTGGATACGATCCGCTAGTCCTCCAGCCTGGAAAGCACTCGGCCGAGTATCTCAGCGATGTATGGAGCAAGTACAACGGCACGGACTCGAGGGCCTTTCTCGTCAGCGACATTCTTCCTGCGTATGGTCTTGCCGCTGTTTCGGATCCCGAGATTGAGACTTTACTTGCAGCCGAGAATTTCGCCCAAGCCCTCTCGGATCTACTGAATGCTCGTGCAAAACTCGAGTGGTCGACTGGTGGACATACAGGTGTCGATACCACGCTTTACGGCTACGCAGCTGGCGAAATGGGGGACCGCCTGGTCCTGGATATGGCTGGGGGCTGGGACAACACCGATATGCCCAAGTACCTTGCCAAGGCGTTGGGCGTAGACATGGATAAAGTCACTGAGCTGCTGAATGCACAGGGAACGGCTTGGATACCAGTGGACGCAGAGCCTGGAAAGTAGAAAAAAGGAGTTGACGTCGCTTTTTTTGTACGATAGCTACGAACTGTCTGAGTATGAGTAATATAATGAATCTAAGCACTAGGAATCAAAAACCGGTTTCATATCTAAAAGGCAAAACAGGATAAATATCATCGAAATTTACTTTGTATTCTGGTCCGATACAGCAAATAATCTTGCAGTGACAATGACAACAACGCTCTCAGCTGCATACTCACCAAGCGCGCCTCTAGGATAACATCATATACTCAGTATCTCCAAGACAGTCGGAAAACATTGAACCTAAATGCATGATTCCAACACCACGTACGAAGCTCAACCACAACAAGCGAAATCTAGTCCCAAGTCTGCCCAGTGCTAGAGTTGATATTGAGATAGAGAGAGCAATGGATCCAGCATCCCTTATTCTTGGACTATCTTGAACGCCCGCGAGAAACGCTGTTTGCGAATCAGGGCAGTGCATCCAGAAAGGAAGCCTACATGGGCGACAGGGCAGACGCCGACTGGGGCATGCGAGACCCATGTTTGTTCCAGGAGTGAAAAAAATAAAGGCATCGTCCAGGAAAATGTTGGCGTACAAAGGAGCCCGTATTTCGAGTTTTCCTACCAAGGCACACGGCGCTAAAGGAGAAGAACACACAATACTTGATTAGCATAACAAAGCTAAGATTCATATACACAACACCAACGTCAAGTTTTCTAGAATAGGTGTAATTTTTGTTAAATATATACAAATCCCTTACAAGAAACTAATTACAGCAAGTTTTAAGACGTGCAGCGTGCGCGCTATAGAGCTATAAGCTATAAGAGCAGATAGTTAAGACACGTCTCACACACAAAACAAAAACACACAGACCACTCTGCTTAGTAATAAGAGAACCCAGCAACAGAATGCCACCAGAAAGCGATACTATCGAAGCCCAAGTGCTAGAACAGAGACAAGAGAGCCTAGGCCCAG